GTTGATGAAAGATGGTTGAAAAGTTGTGGATGTCATAAAATGCGTGGTTGAAAATAAGTTTGCAGAAAAGTGAGTTTTAGAAAATGGGGCCAAACAGGGGCTAAAGCATTTCCAATAGACTCTTTGTTTATAAAGAGTATTTTATGCATTATATAGAGCATTTATAAATTTCGAGAGTTAAATTTTTTATGCACTCCAGCAATGCTCTCTATTTTGGCTCTTCATTTTACCTTTTTCAAGAAACAATTATTGATTTCTGCTCATATTTTATTTAACATAATTTCCAATCAATTCAAATGTGGTTTGAATAGTTTAAGAAGTAGAGTATTGAAATCCATTACTTATTAAATACAATAATTGTACATTAAGAATAGAAAATGAGTTTGACTATCTAAATTTGGATAGTTAAATCCACCCCCTATTTTATAAAGTTTAATACAGTCTCTTGGAGCTTTGTTTAAGCATTAGCTCTTTAAAATAAAGTGTATTTTGTATTTTGATACTTGATAGGCTAAGTATAACTAATCTACATTTACCTGTATTTCATGGTTTGACGTGCTCGTGTTAGAGTTCGACATCTACACCTACGCATCTGGTGAGATCAGAGTTTTATTATAGCTGTTAGTTTAGTTTTATTTGAATCAAGATCTTGTGAAAAGACTTCAGTGACACTTGTGCGCAAATTCTTGATACGTCCTATTGAAAAAGCAATGGTAATGCTGAAATACCATTCAAGTCATCTTTGAATGCTAGAAATGAATAATCAGTGTGAAAAGATGATATTCAGGATAGTGCATTGTCCGGTTAAAATGTAATGGTTCTTCGCCCTATGGGATAAATGGCGAGTATTTTTTACCATGGCTGCTGATTTTGCAGCTATTCTTGAACGAATTTAGAGAAAAGTCGTCTTTGTGATTAAATAATCCATAAGGGGTATTGTTGAATGTTACTTTCTTGATATGTTCTCTTGTAAGGGTTATCTCTTATAATGATTTTTCTTTACCTCTCTGCTGATGATATATTTATTTTCTGTCGTATGAAACTGCAATATTCATTATGCTAGTGCCCCATTCGCATTGTTGCTATGAAATTCTATCACATCATCTGTTGACAAAATATATAACAAAATCTAGATATAGCTTCATTATTCCCTTTACCACTTTATTTGTTGGTATTTGACAAATATATAGCCTGAGAAATCCATTCCACATCTGCGTACTTCTAGTTAACTGTATTAAGTTTTGTGACAAGATTTCAGCTGATTGCCTGAATATAAAAGGCGTAAACTTTTAATTGTGCATCTGATTTGAGTTACTTGAGTTGGTGCTTGTTGTAGTTGACTATATGCAGGTTTAACTAACTTGAGCAGTTGAAGTTTAGTCATTTGTTACTGTGTAGTCGTACACAGTGGCAGATCCAGCACTTGGCGAGGTGGGGCGGCCGCCCGTGCTGGATCCGTCGAGATTTACAAGTTGGATTTGGAGAGAGGCTGTGTTGGCGTTGCAGACTTGCGTTTGCCATTGTTGCAGGGAAGTTTGGAGCTTGGAGGGAGGAAGATGATGATTGTTACTTGGGCCAATTTTTTAAAAAAATTTGTGGACCGTTGATTTTTGACCCTTTTATTAATTAAATATAAATATTATGAATTGACAATAAGTTAAAACGTAGTCAACCTTCTCTCTTGTTGTCACTTCTCCCAAACCGACAATTGCACCCGTTTGGCCCCCCAAATCTAAACTTGTGGTGAGCAATGAACTCTCTAGCAAGTACGTGAACAACTGGTGCATCGTCATCCTCCGTCAGATGGCCATTGTCTTCGCCCCACCCTACCCTATTTCCGTTAGCGACTTAGTTGTTGGATTGTGGGTGACTCCTATTCTTATCTGATCCTTTTATTTTTTATTTTGATAAATGATTTAAAGATTATTGATTTGTGATTTACATATATTGAATTGGTGATTTACAAATTTTACAGATTATATTAAATAGGTGATTCAAAGGTTTTTGATTTATATATATTTATTTGTGATTTTTTTATGTTAAATTGGTGATTTCCAGATTTGGGATTTATATATATTGATTTGTGATGTATATATATTGAATGGGTGATTTATAATTTTATATATTTAAGATTTATTTATATTGAATTGGTGATTTAAAGATTCATGATTTATATATGTTGTTGTTAAAAGATTATGATCGATTTTTTCAAGCTAAATAAAAGTCTCAACCTATTTCTTATATTATAGGATTGTATTATATTGGATTATATTTTCATATTTATATGATTTTATCTTTTAGTGCATTTATATATTATTGGAGAATTTTTAATATTATTTAGTTAAATATTAATAACAGATATCACTATTGCACATGTCAACGGCCGCCCTAGCTCACGACAATTCCTGAATCCGTCATTGGTCGTACAGTTTTCCTCGCTAACCGTTCTGTGAGTCTATACATCTTGTTAACCCGTAAAGAACTACTTTAGCAATCTAGCATTTACATGGCGGTTCGTCCAGCAATAAATTTTTTGAGAAGATAAAGAGTGTTGAAACTTGATGCAACTCCAGCATTCCACTTGGTGTTTATGCTGGAACTATTTGTTGGACAGAAAAGTTAATATTGTTTGAAAATAACTAGAGTGAATCTAGGTTGTCCCTTTTCATTTTCTTCTGTATCTATTAGCGTGACAATCATATAAATTTGAAGATGTATTTTGAAATTCACTCACTTAAATTATTGTACTTGATTAAATAGGATTTAAATTTAGAAATATAAGTAAAATAAAAAAATATGAGTCAAGACAAGTTTGGGAGGGAGATCAATCAACCCCCCCCCCCCCCCCCCCTCAATCATTGTACGAAGTA